TATATATATATATATATATATATATATATAACTAGACGAACCTTATGGTTGTACGGCAGTGAAGCATCAGTCCCAACACTGTGTCTTTCTTTGATGATGATGATGATGATGAGTGCGCCAGCGGTCCCGGTCAACAGCTGGGCGATCGGAGTGTGCGAGTTTTAAGTTCGACATTTCTTAATCCGTCCTTCTTCAGGGAGCTTCCTCGGGGTGGGGAGCTACAGGGTCTGTTTGAAGTTAGTAAATTGACAAGCTGCTTGCCGACTGTCGGGGGCCTGATGACATGCTTACATTACACTTGGTCAGAATGAGTTTATTTCCCCAGAGGAGTCGTCATTTTTGAGTATTTAAAACCACGTGGCGCATTGGGTGTCGTGGTTGCTTTGTAGCTGACGGCCCTAAGGCTATGCAGCGCGGTCGTTCGTGTTAGAAATTCATCCTGTTCAGGACCGTTTCTTGTTGGTCTAACACTGACAGGCCTTGTTGTACGTTGTTGTGCGGTTGATGTTGCCCCCGAATCAGCTGCTTAAATGTTGTTCCAAGGGGTTCCGATGGTCGACCTGGGTACTCATATCACATAAGAGATGACTGCTTTTAGCATGCCAAGTTCATCGGGACTAATCTTCATAAGTAATTTGATACCAGAAACTAACATTCGGCTTGATGTTGCGTGACGGTGGGCTAGGTTTGGTTGAAGTCGCCCGAGGGCGACTGTTCGTTGTTTAGCTGTAGCACCCCTTCGGTGCCTAACTGCCATGCTACTATAAGGAAGCACAGCAGCTGGGATACTGCCAGATTGCCCAAGCCTAGACGGGGGAAGTCGAGAGGCAGAGGTCGGTTCCGAACCACAAACTTCCGGTCAGTAAATTTGCACTCCAATCAAGTGAGCCATCTCGCCCCCACCGGCTCTATTCAAGGATGGCGGTGGATGTTTCACTCAGTGCCCGTTTAGCCTATGTGGGTCTATGTGACAGAAAGGGATCGTTCCAGATAACTGGAGTGAGTCGATAAAAAAATAAACTCGTTCAGCTGTAGCACCCTTTCGCTGCCTAGCTGCCATGCCACATTAAGGAGGCACGAGGGCTGGGATACTGCCAGGGCCCAAGCCTAGACGGGGGAAGTTGAGAGGCAGAGTTCGGGCTCGAACCGCGGACCTTCCGGTCAGTAAATTGGCGCTCGGACCACTTGGACAATCTCGCCACAAGTCGATAATAGTGCTTATTTACAAACACAAATACACGTAAGCAATTTCGGGCAATGCAGTTCATCGATGGGGTATTTTCGCCTACGAACAAACGACAGTGGAAGCCAAATGAGCAGCTCGGTGAACAAACTAACTACCGCCTTGAGAGCGCTGCTTTCGGGATTCAGTAGCGTCGGCGAGGGTCTCTAACAGTCGATTAGGTGAGTCTATATCTCCCCCTGGCAGATGATACACGCCAACTTTACTCATGTTTTGAGTCGGGCCTTTGATGCTTCCTTCCCACGTTACAGCATAACGTATGTGGTTTGGTTGGTGATAATTAGTTGTCTTTTACCTTCGTGCAAAATATTCAGGTTTTTCACCCGCACACCACCACCAGTTGCAAACAGCTCTATACACTCCTTCAGAGCAGGCCACTGTCACGTTTTCACTGTAGACGGCTAATTTGGAGACCGAACGGTCTCCCCTTATTTTGGTATTCACTTTGTTGGCTATATTGGCGACAGGAGTTGGTTATCTATTCAGGTAGGTATATTTATTGAATCCGACCGTTGGGCCGTTACGGCTAGATCGCTTGCTGTAATCATCTAACGTAGAAGAGGGACTTTGCATTTGGTTGTGTAAAATGGATTCCCAAATCGGTAGTCGGGTGAACTAAGTTGTTTGGTTTGTTTTTTATTTTGCTCATGTCCGTTGTGCTACTTTCGATTGCCAGTTTTGAATGAAGCAACGATCCTGTCGGACACAACTTTGATAGTGGACGCTCGAGAAAAATTATTCAGAGCTTTACACTTCTAAAGGTATAGTACCCCTTAGTGAGCGAAGTAAGCTGAAATCTTTCTGTTGATTAGGCAACGCCGTAAAACAATGTTCGACTTGGTCAAACGCTATATTCAGCTGAAGGAAGACAATAGAATTTAGTCTTCTGTATGTATGACTGTATGTATAGCTGTGAGATTAAGGCGTGGGCAGTGCCTCCGCAACTCGAACTGGATACTGCCTGATTTTCACGGTTATTGTTCCAGAGTGTTGCTGTATATCCGCAGGATAAACTCCTGAGTACATTGTGAGGCGATAACAATGCGACTTATGTCTCTGGTTGCCGCACCTACTTCTTGTGTTTTCTGAAAACAAGGGCAAAAGTTGAAAGCTGCCATCCCTTTGAAGACAAGACAACATGACATCAGTGGTCAACACCGTTGTTTCGCTGCCGTATAACCATAATTTAATTGGAAGCCTTATTGTGAAGAAAGAATAAAGGTGAACGGGGGAGGGACTTATTGCCGGCTTGCCTGGTTCCCACACCTCCAAACACCCATTCAGGCAATCTGGATAGAAACTGTCAACAAGATCGCCACTGACATCGGTTAGAAGCCATAGCTTGCAGCGTCTCCAACCAGGTACAGTGAGGATCGCGCGTTCCCCATCCTGGAAGGCGAGTGTTACCGACAGCACCCAAACGTTTCGTGATTTCTTTCTTACCCCTCTGCCGGGTCAAGGGTTGGTCACCTCTCTGCTTCCGGCACTCTGAATTGGGGGTGGAAAACAGCACTCTCTTCGGCACACGATGGCTAGACATACGCAACACATGTCCCAACCAACGCAGCGGACACATTCTTCAATGGAAATGCCCGTTGCACAACCGGAAACTCGCTTTCTAACTGCATCGTTACGCCGACACCAACTCACACGAGCTATGGTTCTGAGACCACGATTGTGGAACACCTGAAGACGTCTCAGTTCCACTGCCCGAACCTGCCAAGTCTCACAGCCATACAACAAAACAGCCCGCACTATAGCTTGATGCACACGTCCCTTGTGATTTAGGGATACACCACGTTGACGCCATAGGTGTCTCAAATTAGCAAACGCGACCCGAGCCTTGATGATTCGTGCATTGACCTCATCCGTCACACTACAGTTGGAACTGATACAACTTCCAAGATGTGTAAAATGCTCCACAACTTCGAGTGCTTCCCCTTGGATTGTAAATGGTGTGTTCAGCGACTGCATGTCCAGGAGCATGACCTTACATTTTGTGGGTGCAAAGTACATACTAAAGAACAGGATGAATTTGGTCAGTTTATCCAAGAATACTTGAGCCTTCTACTTTTCTCCGAACATGAGAACGATGTCGTCTGCATATTCCAGATCGACAAGGTTTCGTCGCAGGCTGTTTGTACACCGGGGTTTCAGAGACCCTCCACCATTCGTCTCAAGATTTCATCGATCACAAAGTTAAACAAGAATGGGAAGAATGAGCATCCTTGAAGGACACCACTTTGTGTACGGAAGCTTCCGGAGAGCTCGCCGTATACTCTCAAACGTCCGGAATTCTGGGAATACAAAGAGCTTATTGTGTTCACGAACTTCCGGGGCATTCATCATCATCATTGTCATCATTGCCAGCTGTAATAACCGCGTACTCGTCGTACAGTGGTTGTAGCTGCCGCAGGTTCGTTCACTGATGGTTTGGGGGGAGGGGTAGGTAGCTGCACATTGCCGGCGGGAGCTGATAAATTGGTGCATAAATCCAGCACTGTCAGTGGGCTGTCAAGTGGGAGGGGGATGGAAAAGGAGCTATGCATTGAATGCAGTAGCTTGGATGCATGGGTGCCACTGAGGGCGCGACTGGGCCATGTCTGACAATGTTTCTAGCCACTGATGTGGCCCGTCTCGGGGTTCCCATCCAGGAAGACGGCAGTGACCAGTGCAGCTGAGTTTGCTGGTAATGGCTTTCATACTTCGCTGCCAAGTCATTGTTTGACTGCCTCTGGCTCTCTTCCACCCTTCACGTGGTTGTGCGAAAAGAACCCTTCGAGGAAGTCGGTCGACTGGCATACGCAACACGTGGCCAAACCAGCGCAACCTATGCAATGTGATCAGTTCATCTATCGAGGGTGAGTTATTTCTCCCGAATACCATTCGACAGACTTCAGCATTGCTGGTCCGGTGTTCCCACCAGATTCGGGCAATGCTCCGAAGACATCGATGGTCAAACACTGAAAGTCTTTTGACGTCCTCGGCGCGCAGCTGCCAGGTTTCTGATCCGTATAGTAAAATGGAGCGCACCTCAGCATTGTACACTCGACCCTTGACAGAGAAGCTGATGCCACGCCTACGACACAGGTGACGCATGTTCACCAGAGCTGCTCTGGCCTTCTCAATCCGGATGAAAATGTCATCTTTCATGAGACCGCCGGGACCGATACAGCTGCCCAGGTAAACAAATTTGTCTACTACCTCAATCGGTTCATCCTCAAGCATGAGGCTAGGGTTCGAGCCCACCCAATCTTGCAGTAGCACTTTACACTTTGCAGGTGTGAAGCGCATGCCGAACCGTGAGGCATAATTATTGAGATTATTTAATATTGTTTGCATTACCATGGGGTCAGATCCCAGAAAAGCTATGTCGTCTGCGTACTCGATATCTGTGAGCGGACGCCCTTGGAGCACTTCGACCTCACAGGCATTGGGGGCTGGTAGTGAATCTTCCATGATCGCATCAGTGATGAATTCGAAGAGGAAAGGTGAAAGAGCACGGCTTGTCGGATACAACTCGATGTGGTGAACTCAGGCGAGAGCCAACGGCCGCGGGAGTTGGCGTGCAGCGCCTGACGGAGGGTCAAGAATTTATGGGGGATATATTTGCTCCACATACACTGCCACAGAATAAAAGGCAGCTTTCAGATAAAGAAACACAACTATTGTTGACTGTGGAAGGCAGTGTCGCTGTTCCGGAATCTGTCGGAGGGTGAAGCTATGATCGATGCAACCTCTTGCAGGACAGAACCCAGCTTGGTTTTCACGGATCTGCCTCTCCCTATGTTCAATCAGCCTTCGAAGGATAAGGCCAGAGAGCACCTTCGATGCAACAGCTAACAGGTTGATGCCATGGTGGTTTTCACACAGTGTCCGCGTACCCTTTTTGAAGATAGGGATAACCGTCAACATGTCCAATTCTCCTGGCACCTCTTCGTCTCATATGGTACCAATAAGGTTTGTCAGATGGGTCACCAGGGACATCCCACCTTCTTTAAGGAGGGCTGGATACAGACCGTCCGATCTTGGTGCCTTTTTGCGTTTTAGAAGGTCTCTTTCGTACCTTATTTCTTCCGAAGGGCGATCAAGGTTTACATTCCATTCGCCCGTGGGCATTATCTCCACAGGCTGTGTTGAAGGAGGCCAGCTGAACTGTTCTTCGAAGTGTTCCGCCCATCTTTCCAGTCGGCGTTTTTGCGAGTTAATTAATGAGCCATCTTTTTTACTTATCTTTTCGCTGACCTTTGCTTTCCTAGGCCAGTTGATATAGGGCATGGCTGTTTCCAGTAGCAAGGGCCTTTCCATCTCTCGAGCTTTCGATGTCCACCAGAGCTCTCGGTCTTTCCTATTTGGCGTTTGAGGGATTTGCGTACGCCGTCAAACTCGTTGCCTGCTGGTATAGCTTTCCTGGCATCGATCATGGATAGCGATCTCGATGACATCCAGTGGACTTGTGGTCGAATCGGAGAAGTCGGACGGACAGCACTGAACGCCGCTGACATAGCTCCTTTCATATTTTACCGCGCTTCATCCCCATGCTCACTACCGCCACAGTGTTGGTTTACTGTGGTACTGTTGAGCTATGGTAGTTCTTTGAAGACAGTGGATTGGTATGCTTCTTGCTGAGTTGCGAGGGCCTGAAGCGAAACGAACTGACAGGCGTGCACGCACTATGGCGTGGTCGGAATCAAGTGGTGTGCCCCAGAAAGAACGGCAGCCTTGAATTGTGGCTCTCCACGGGTGGCTGATGGCCATATGGCCCAACTGGGTCTACAGTTGATTTGCAGTTGGTGGCCGCCAGGTTACGCGGTGCTGAAAGTTAGTACTTGCCAGAAACAGTTCATGATCAGCTCACAACGGAAGGAGTCGATCTTCGTTGTTTGCGCGGCGAGCATCGACTCCGAATCGACTACCCAAATGCGACTCCAAAGAGCTCAGACGGCCTACTTGAGAATTTAGATAGCCTGCAAGTATCACAATATCAGTGCATTTTGATTGATGAATGAGCCCGGATAGCTCTCGATAGAAAGTATCCTTCTCCGCATCAGAACTGCAGTCCGTTGGGGCATAAGCCGACACCAAAAACAGGCACCGCTTTTTATGCCGGGAGGCATTGAGATTGATTTAACTGGATAACCGGATGGTGCAAAGTCGGCTGTTCACTGGGATCCAATCCAGCGTAGCGCGTTTAGCTCTGGGGCTGAGTGCAGCTCCCACACAAAATATCCTACGAGTCATCGCTCCCGGGTCACCGGACATATGGAGGGAGAAATGTGAAAGAGCTGAGTCCATTCTTGACGTTCTGAGATGCATAAGCTGCTCGGGTCTTGTATGCGTGTTTCGAGACACAGCATACATCAATTTTAAGGGAGTCTAAGGTCTCAGCAAGCATTGCCCGTTTGCCAATTTGACATAGAGTAAGGACTTTGGCTCTCATATTGAACGTTTCTCGTGGATTTAGAAGGGTGTGATTATGTTTATTGTTAGTAAGCAGCGAGGAGCATAACGCCCTTTGGTCAGATAACTGACAGTCAAGTGGCCCAGGGACGTCTGTTTGTGTGGTGGGTAGGGGTTAGGGAGGGACATCGGTGGACACCGAACTGCGCGGGCAAATGATACTTCTCGGTTGCCCAGGCCGAGGAAGGGGGTTGGTTGAGTTACCCTATTAGTGCACTGCTGCTGATGGCCATAATACAAATCAGGTGTATGCACTAATAAAAGTTTTAGCATGGTTGACAGTGGTGGGTTGCAACACGTATATAAATAAATACAATGCGAAAATGGGAGCAAGTCAAAAAAGGAACTTATCGTCCTTGAGAATTCCTTGGTGAAAGTCAGGACGGCGGGAACGTGTTTTTCTCCGCAGTGCGACTGCTGCACGTGTTCCATAATTGTCTGTGGACTTGTGGAGAGCGGTTGACTTCCTGCTCCCTGCGCGCGCGCGAGTCTGTGTGCCGATTGTGTTCGGTTTCCCTATATGTAGGTCCGTTTGCGTGTACGTGGGCGCGTCAGCACATGAGTAGTTGCTATGCTCACTAGACGATACAGACAATCGGTGTCCGATGAGTCAGCTTTATGTGACGTGGTTTGCGAGTATGAAAAAAGACAAGTCTCGTGATCCAGTGAGCGACTGTGAGCTGAACAGTCAACTATGTGGGTAACCGGATAGCTACAACCCCACCTTGAGCCTTTAACTCAAAAGTCTGACCCACGAGGCAGCGGACAGTAAGGTTTTCTTTGGAAACCCTTCCCGGAGCCGATGACTCAACAGTCTGACCTGCTCGGCTGCAGGGGGTTGGTCTGACCCGAGGGCGCAGGGAATAAGGCATTACTGTCTCATTCCTGATGCGGCTGCGCACAGCAGGTGTCTTTTGAATAGCTTCGGGCTCCTTGGTTCAAAAGTATTTCGACCGAAATTGGATAATGCGCCGGCGGTCACGGTCAACCGTTGGGCGATCGGAGTGTGCAGTTTCTGGGGCCAACCTTTTATAACCCGTTCTTCCTCGAGGGAAGGCAGCATCGCTGCTTCCATAAATATGGACATGCTGGTCTTCTGGGGAAATACCTCACTATCTTCACACTCCTGTCGTAGAGGACAGTACGACGTTACCCCCAGACCGCCTCGTAGCACGATTACTCGTGGTACGGGGTCTCGCTGCTCTTGGTCTGGCTGCTCCCCTTTGGCCTTCCTGGCATGGTTGTACCTTGTGGAACGACCTTCCAGCCAGTGTAGCTCACGGGGTCATTCCAGCACTCAAGGCCGACCATCACGTCAAGGTAGCAGCTTTACGTCGGGATGTTTATTTTTTTTATTTTGTTTTGTTCATTCTGTTGTTGATGGTAGCTTTAGTGACATTTCGTACATGTTAAAATGACCGACCCGATCTCCTTGAAACACTGAACGAAATGATCTTTGTAGGATTACCAGACGTTATCCTCAACTACCATTTTTAAATAGGATGTTTTGTCTGTTGAATAGTGAACTACACTGGTCAAGTGTTGATGGCTTGGTGAGTTGTGAGTTTATATGAACAGTAAAAACTGAAGCGGGAAGCCAACGTCAGCCTTGTGGGTTTGAGTCCTTCTGTTTTCCGCATCCAGTCGTTCGTTGCAGCTTACCACTCATTTGCTAGTTTCTTCAGTTTTATTCTGCTTTCCTATCGATCTCATGTTAGGTGGACATAGTTCGTGTAAACTGGTGATGGGCACTCCCGTAGCCAAAAGAAATCCTGCACGTCATTGTGGTATTCTTTATTTGCACTAAATTTGGGACTCGTTGGCATTCTGTCCATCGATTACGAACCCATTTCTGCTGTATTTATTTTTAGCCCCATCGGAGCTCACCATTTATGATTTTGTTTTGATCGGGGTGCTCAATTGTACCTGCCAGATCCTTCTTCGTCATGCATAGTCAGAAGCATCTAGTTATGTGGGATGGATACAACAATGGTACTGGTTTGGGAAGCACATCGTACGCACTCTCCGGCACGGCTAATCCACACTATTCCACGGCTGAACCAGCAGAAGATCGCGACTTATTTTTCACCGGAGGTAGCTATTACGCAGTGAGGGTTGAACAGGAAACCCACCCTCAGTTGACCAACTACCTTCATTCAGAAATGGACAACACTGCGGTGCCCTTGGTAGATGGGCATCTTGATGACGAAGAAACGGCCAATGGTCCTCATGATTACGACGCCACTGAGGAAAAAGTGCTCCAATTGCAAATGGAGCTGGAACACATGCGGGAAAACTATGAGCAATTGTTGTTGGAAATACAGAATAATGATCAAGGTGCTAGCACCGAGGTAGAGGAAATAATCGAAGAAGAGGTTCGGACAGTGAAAGGAAATCGTCCGTCTGTGAAACAAGAAGAAGCCATCCATCTTGAGTCACCTGTCGTACGACGTGCAGTGACGCGTGACGTGGCTATTCAGTCGCCACTGATGACAACTCGTACAATGGCAACCATGGCTTCCCCGATAGATCCAGCAACTAAACAATGCTTCGCCGTAAACGTTCGTCCGTCTACAAAAGATGCAGGTACCTTGTGCCCACAGCCAATTAAACGTGAATTCGGGTGCACAGCAGTCGAATCTGATGCGGCGCTGCACGATTGGGTAGAACAAAACCTGGCCCAGCACTCAGAAGTTACACGTAAGCTGATTACCACGCTGCTTCGCAGTTGCTACAAAAGTCGTGAATCTTTTGTGCGCACTGTTCTGAGTGTCCTTAGGAAAGAAAACAAGACGATTGGAGTAGAGGCGAAACCACAACAACGTCGGCAGTCGACATCTACATCCCCGTCTTTGCAGGAAATCCCTGTACAGGAAGCACCAAAGGTCGCAGCACCACCACCAATTGTGTTAACTGAGTCCCAGATGGTAGAAGCTCGTCCTTTGCTAATGAACAAGTCTTCCATGACGTCGCGTATCCACGCTGTTCATGTTGGCGTGGCCACTGAAAGCATACTACTGCGCAGTCAAGGCTCTCAAACGCTGCAGCAAGTTCCTGATATAACAACTTCCGGCGTCCAAACCGACGGCCCTCCTGGTTTGGTTGATCGTGGTGTACATGCGGTTTTGGGGAGTATCTCGTTAAGCTCTCATCCGGAGGTGTCTAAGTCCGAACACTCTTCGGAGCGTCAAGCGCAAACCGAACACAGTGCTAGTCCCAACACAAGTCGAACGACAATTGAATCCCGATCTACGACTACCGCAGACAAACGTTTGCTCTCAGAGGCGATAAAAGAGGCAATTGAACAGTCTAGTGAATGTATACGCACCACGGTGAGTCTTTCACGGGGTGAAAGGTGTTGTATTATGTCTGTTTTTAGCGCCTCTTTTGTTGCAAACCGTAGTGCAGGTTTGGGTCGATTTCCATGGGTATGCATATAGTACGGTGTGAATTCAAAAGTATTTGGTCTTTTCGATGGTCCGATGTAAGTTACAGTCCAGTGGCCTACGATGGCAAAAGTGGTAGTCCCCATTACATGGTGTACGTGCATTTGCGCTGTAGATAATTTCCAATTTTCACCCAAGCACCCATGATGTAGCCGAAAAGTGTCACGTATTCTAAATGGGGACTTTCTGCTTGCCAGCTGGCTTGTCCTGGACAATGTTCTCACGCGGAACTGATGCACTTGAACCTCGTCTGCGACCAAGTAGTTACCCCATGCGTTGTTCCTCTACCTGGCCGGACGTTGTCGTCGTCCAGGTGCATAAACGATATTGGATTTGAATTCACATACCATTGTATTATTGTGTAATTTCATGTGGAACCGATAATTTTTGTTGGACCGAATGCACCAAGAATTGTCCATTTCGATGATTGTACGTGCTTTCAAAAGCATCGGTTTACTGCGCAGCTGACTCAGTTTGAGGGAGACGAAGAATTCATCACCTTTGGTACTAGAAGTAAAAATAATCCACCTAATCTACAACCCACCGTGAAACGGATTTAAATCCAAGCCTCTGGAGGTTCTCATACAAAAGAATAGTCAAAGATATCAGTGTTTAGGCATGACGCACTACTCATATGGATTCTGAAAACCCTTCGACAGCCCACCACCTGTCTCGCCATTCACGGGGCTCATCAAATAAGCGCCATCTCGGAGTTCCCGTCAAATTTATTTTCTACTTGAACCCCACTTCAACAGATGTCAATAAATACTGTCATGAGTTTAATTTCTACAGGGAATTCAGCTTAATGCCGCTGTATCTCTCGTTTATGATGGTCTGCTTCAAC